ATGGGATGCATTTCTTAGACAGGAAGAGGAAACGGTAAGGTGGGGGTCGGGGGGGGTGAAACCCGGGCATCCATTGTGAGGATGCCATGCGGTGAAGGAAGGGGAGAGGGGGAATGCCAAGAAAGAGATGGAGGACACAAAGGACTTGATCCGGAGCGGGGGAAAGGCCAGGAGGCCCCGAAGGGAGGCTGGGAAGCTGCCGTGGGGATTCTGGGCAGGATCGGGCGAAGAGGGAAACCTCCGCAAACCCCGCTGGCCTCGCAAAGGGGCATGGACAGAATTCAAGGATAAAAAGCTTTGCGAGCCCGAAAGACCATCCAGCTCAGCCCGGGGGGAGGGGTCTCGGAGGGTCTTCCTTGCTTCGCCCGGGGAAGAAGCGCCCCTGGCGCCCCAAAGGCCCCCCGGCCCCCCTCGGGGAGAGCAGGAGCCTCGCCCGAAGCCCCTCCGCTTGGGGCCCTTCGGGGGGCGGGAGTTGACCTCACCTGCGAAGCTCCTGCCGGGCAGCGGACGGGGAGGAAGGCAGCTTCAGCCGGAGCCGAGAAGGGGCGCAACACCTGGCGGGGGGGGGGGGAGAATTCAAGAGCGGCCGGGGCGCCTGCGCAGTGGAGGCGGCGGTCCCACCCCGCCCCTCCTGTCCGTGCCCCCCTGCGGGCTCTCCGGCCGCCTCTCCACGCGACGGAGCTTCCAGCCCTCCGGAAAGCAGAGCCGCCCCCCGGGATTCCCTCCGTGGCTCTCTGGCCGGGACTGGCACGGGACGGGGAGACGCCCCCCGGGGCCCTGAAACGGGGACGCTCCGAAGAGACCCCGCAGAGCCGCTTCTTCTCCCCCCGGGGGCTGCCTGGGACCCCCCTATCCAGGAGAGGGCAAAGCGGGATCCGGGGAAGGGACCGGCCACGATCCCCTCGCGCTGCACAGGGAAGGTCCCCGAAACGGGGCCAGGGGGGGGGGGGGGGGGGGGGGGGGGGAGGGGGGGGGGGCTGTTTTGGCTGGTCCAAAATGCGGCACCCAGCCTGCTTGTGCTCACCGGCCAGGTGTGGCCACATCACACTCCTGATGTTGTGGCGGCTGCTGCCTCCTAGTGCCAGGATAGCTGAAAGACCATCATCCCCAACCCGTTCTCCTCTGTCCACCCCAGATGGCCACAGAGCACCAGCTAAGGGTTCCCCCCTCCTTAGAGGCAGTTGGAGGTCTCTGTGGGGCTCCCCCATCCCCAGGGACAACCTCCCCATTGGCCCCACTTCAAGGGCTGCCAAAAACATTCCCTTCCCAGGAGGCTTTTGGGGGTGGCGCCTGTTCAAGAGTGTGCAGCTTTCATCCAGCACACAAATAAATAATTCAGCAGGATCCATTCATAGAAGAAACTTCTTTATATGCAATAATACAAAACATGATACATGTATACAATACCCATGCAGCTCTTTCAATGTGGCAGAAGTAGAAGCAACCAGAACTCAGAATCAGCAGCTCACAAGCTGTGAGCACAGAACTTCTTTCTTAAGAGAGATCAGTTAAGCTGAGCCAGGCCCAGGCTCCTAGCTGTCTGACCTAGCAACAACAGATCCTGTTTCTCAGTCAGCAAACAGTTCCCATTGGCTGACTTGTTGTTGTGGCTGCCCAGCTCATAATTTCTTAATTTCCTGCCTAGCTTTTAAAATTATAGGCTAATATTTTTAAAATTAACTTCTATTATTGCCATGGACGCTTTCAAAGGTAATCTTAAAAACATATTCAATGTCTGCAAATCACCTTGATAAATGATACAAATAAAACATAAATGTGTTGCATTTTTAATAAGTTCAGAGAAACATAAATGTAGAATCGCATGCAGGTATTAAGGTATCACTTTTACTGATTACAAAGGCCCTTTAACCGTCTCTCTCTCTCATCTAAACTGAGAGCCCCAGAGTCAGGCAGGGATGCCCAACCTTGGCAGCACCTGGAGGATGCAGGGACTTCCAACACCTGAATTCCCCAGGTAGCTCTGCTGGCTGGGAATTCTGGGAGTTGAAGTCCGCACATCTCCCGGGTGCCCAGGTTGAGAAACGTCATGTTAATGCACAACAAGGGTGCAGCACCTGGCAGGAGGCAGCATGGAGGGTTTTGCCCAAACAAGGGACACTTCAAAAGGGGGCTCAGAGGGGCCAGGAGGCATCACTGGGTCACAGCCCCACCACCTCTCGGTCAGTTGGAGCCACGAAGCTCTTGGCAGCCCCCAACCAGCCTGGACTGAGCATGGCAAAAGGATAAGGAGGTTGGGCATGGCGCGGGGAGGGGAGACCACCTACATGTAGTCCTCAACTTACAACCACAGTTGAGCCCAAAATGGATGTCGCTAAGTGAGAAATTTGTTTTGTCCCATTTTAGGACTGCTCTTGCCACTTTCGCTAAGCGAATCACTGCAGTTCTTAAATGAGTCAGGCAGTCGCTGAGTGAATGTGGCTTCCCCATGGACTCCGCTGGTCAGAGAGGGTTGCAAGAGGGGATCACGTCATTACAGGATGCTGCAACCGTCGTAAATGTGAGTCGCCAAACATCCCCCAATTGTGATCAGGTGACCCTGGGGATGCTGCCCATGGTGGTTAAGCATGCAAAATGGTCATTAAGTCTCCTTTTTCAGTGCTGTGGTAACTTTGGTCACTATTTCAACTGTTGTAAGTTGGGGACTATCAGTCCTGAAGATCTTTTATAGGACGTGGACATTCCTCACATTGAAAGGGTGACCCCATCCTGGCCCAGGCAGAAAAAAGGCCGGAGCGTCTCCCCCAGGAGGGGCCCTGTCTGGAAGGTGTAGAAGGAATCCTCCGTCTCTGCATCCAGGAACTCCACTTTTCTGGCCTTGCAGTCCAGCCTCACCCGCAGCCTCTGCAGCGGCCTTTGCAAGCTCAGCTTCTGCTGATGCATGTTGAAAGCGACCATCTCCCACCAACCACTCTTCCCCACAGCCCAGATTCCCTCCTGGGGGCTCAGCTGGAAGGTCCCCTTCCTGCGGACGGACTCCTTGGCCACCCCGATGGCCCAGCATTTTTTGCGCTGCGACAGAAATGTCAGCTGCGGTGCACTAGGTTTGACAGCCGAGGCCGTGTCTAGCTCGTGCACGGACACTTCCCAGCAGTTCCATCCTGTGGTGAATCCTTCACAGCCCAGGACGCAGAATTCCCTGTCGAACCTCTCTGGCACATCCGGCAATTCCTGGTATTTGGTGGCCCAACACACACTTGACTTCTGGCACAGGAGCCGGGGGTGGGCGGTTGAGCTGTTCAGCGTGACTGGGACTACAGGATGGAGAACAGAAACTCTCAGACGGGCTGGGAACAGGGGAGGGCAAAGCCGGTCATAGATCAGGGTTCCCCCACTCCCAGGCCCTGGACCCCTACCGTGCGTTGAGCCTTTCGGAACCAGACCACAGAGGTGGTGGGTGACTGTGAACGCAGCTGCGTGCATCCCCACTCGCGCAAGCCAAGGGATATGTTTCCCTCCACACACGCAGGACCATCCCCTACCTCCACCCCACCCACCCCGATCAGCAAAGGTGAAAAGGTTGGGGAACTCCGTCTTAGAGGATGCTCCACCCACTCAGGGAAGGGAAGCGTGGCTGCTTACACCTGCTTAGCGGGAGGGGGGCAGCAGGATGCCAAGGGGAGCAAACTGGGCCGTTCGGTCATCCATGGAATTCGCTACCGTGAGTCGCGGTGTCTGGCAGGCTTGAAAGAAGGGCCAGCTCGATCCCTAAGTATATCATCCTCTGCAGCTGCCCAAGGCCCACCCACCACACTTGGATGGCTGCTATGGGGTCAGAGGTCCCCCCGTTTACAGCAGCACCTGCTGACCCGTCAGCTGCCTGGAGAGCTGGTTCAGGCAGCGGGGGAGTCCAACGTCAAGGGTACACAGGGCGCTGCAACTGGACCCCACCCTCTACTGTGCATCCTGGCCCTGACGTAGACCTTTTCCTCCGTGTGCTGTTACCTTTACGAGATCTTGGCTGTTCTGGGGAAGAAGGGATAGAAGTTAAAATCAGGATGGGGGGCTTGGAGAAGCCCCCTCCCCCACTTCTCACAAGGCACAACTCAACACCGAGGCCCCCACTGTGCACTTCTATGCCCGGGAAGCTCTCAGCGCCCTCCCCCGTAGCTCTTTTCTGGCTCCGCCTGGCTGCTGTGGGACCCCCATTCCTCCCCCAGAGGCTGCCTTTGGGGCCCTCCAGACTCGGGGCTTCCACTCCACAGAGGAAGCCACTCCTGGCAGGCGTTACTACTGGCGATGTGGGAAACCACTGCTGTGAGGCCTGGTAGTCTTTGCAAGCCCCTCCTCCACTGACTCCTCCCCCCCAAGCCCCAGGGGGTTTACCTGTGGCCAGAAGTCGATCCTGGCTCTCCTTGGTTAGAATTGCCTGCAGAGAGACTGAGATGCGGAGGAAAGGAAAAAATGAGGCCTGGCTTACCCAAGATCCCCCAGTAGGAAAGGGGGCAGGAGGAGGGCCCAGAACTCCTGGGGCTCCTCCTGAGGGCCCAAGACCCCCAGTCCCCTCCTGAAAAGGCCTCTCACCTTTGTAACTGTCCACAATCTGCCTTACAGAAGCGTTTTTCACCAAGAGGGTGCGGAGTTTGTCTTGCAGCCTGGGAGAGCCGCTCTCTACGCGCCCTACCACATAACTCCGGCACCTGCGACACAAGGAGGGTGGCTGTCAGGGTTCCAGCAGTTACTCCAATTAAATCATGAGCCTTGAGCCACACTCCCTAAACTAAAGAGGATTTATTTGAAGCTACCATTCTACGTCCGGCACTAATACGGGCGTAGCCAACTCTGAGATATGAAATTCACTGTCACCCTTGATCCTGCTTTCACCCCACCCACCACTCTGGGTGTATCATCTAAGATAAAAAACGTCCATAGCCAAGAGTCATCAATCATGCTCTCCAATTAGATGTTTTCGTGCAGAAGCTTCAGTCATCTAATCAGTCTTAGAAGAAAATATGAATGGAATGTACTTTCAATTCCACTGCCGCCTGCTCTTTGAAATTCCCTCCTTCTTTCTGTTGTCAACTATAAAACTTGTATACAAAATGTTTTATGAGTTGACAACGGCCTCACACAGCTACCCGGCTGCCTCCCCGCATCACAGGGGGGCTGGGTGAGGGCTGGGTTGGCCATGGTGTGTGTGAAACAAGCTGGTCCTTTCCAGCATCTTGCCAGGCGAGTACAGGACTCGGGTTTTCCAAACCTGAGTTTAGCATGTGGCCTGAATCCTGCCTTGCTTCTTATGCAACCATTGTTTGTTGCTTTGATCGCAACCGACTCTGCACACTGAACCAGTCTAGAGTTCAGTAGAGAAGCGAGGAAAGACACAAACTCATCACAAACATCAATGTGATTCTGATCTTACTGTACCAAGGACTAAGGGATCCAAAGCAAAGAAACCAGGTTTCCTGCAACAACTGAGTTTCCACCACTTCCCTCCACCCCAAGTGGATAGTCTGCCTGGGGGATCGTCCAAATGGCTGCAGAAGAGAAGAGTTGCCCCCGAGGGTCCTTGGGGATCGGCTGTTTTCTTGAAGACCTTTCATTACCCAACTGAGCAACATCATCAGTGCCAGAAGGGAGTGCGGTTTGCTCTCCTTTCAC